AGAGTGCGACGGGCAACACCATCCTCGGCCGGAGGGCGTTCGAGTCCATCTTGGCGGCAAAGACCACCACCCTGAGGTGCCAAAGGGAGCAGGGCAGCTGGCAGGGCACGACGATCTCCGTGGTCGACACCCCCGGCATGTTTGACCATGATGACTACACAGAGATGGTGCGGCGGGAGATCCTGCCTTGCATTCAGCTCTCCCGGCCTGGCCCTCATGCCCTCATCTTGGTCACCCAGATGGGATGCTTCACCGGCGAAGATGCCGCCGCGGCGCAGTGCGTCCGGGATATCTTTGGGCCTGAGTCCACCAGGCACACCATCATCCTCTTTACCTGCGCGGAGGATTACCTGCAGGAGTACGTCCGATACTCTGACAACTGGAATCTGCGTGACCTGATTCGGCGGTGCGGGAACCGCTTCTGTGGGTTCAACAACGAAGCCGCGGGAGCCGAGCGGGAGAGGCAGGTGTCGGAGCTGATGGCAATGGTGCAGAGGACCGTTTTCCAGAATGATGGGCGATACTATGTCAACCGGCTGTACCTGGAGCCCAACTTACGGGACGAGCATGTCCAGGGGTTCATCGCGCAGAACCGCAAGGCATCCCGAAGCATCATCGATATACTCTTGCTCTGCTTCCTTCCATTCTGGTTCATCTTTTATGTTGGCAGATGGGCGTTGTCCTGCCTGAAAAATGTAGTTGTCATGGCGTTTTCCTCCCTGAGAAGAGGACTTGTCACCGCGTTCCGATACTTCTTCCGTTAAGCGTTCGAGTCCTGACTTTGTTTCGTCTCCAGATCACGAAAATGATGCACAGCTAGTCCTCAAGCTACTATTCACGGTGGAGCCCCCAAATTTCTGTGGCTAGGGGAAGACCTTTGTGAGGGGGCACTTTATCTCCCCCCCTGCCCTTTTACGACCTTTCCTGTCACTGTGGTTCGCCGAATCACCGTTGGGGGCAAAACCGTTGTGAAGTGAATCGGGCTTTCCCTGTAGACTTTGCTCATTGGAGGGTCGCAAAATCAGGGAAATCTCCTGAGCCCGCCATAAATACGAGTCAGTGGCCGAGCAT